AAATGGACACAGTTACTTCTGGCATATGTTAGAGCCTATTTATAAAGGCATCTTCCGCCTTAGTTTCTGTAGAGATATCTAAATTGTGCACCTAGCATTGATGAACGCTTGAATTCGACGCACTCCAGGGAGCAAAGACCATCTTAAATGTTCAAGTCAATCATTCTCAAAACCCACATTTTCTAAAGAATTCATTTTTTTAAATGTTGAAGTGTTTGTGGTTTTACAGCGTGAGATTTCAGAGGAACTGCAGATTCAGCCGCATTGGGAGCAGGGCTTGAATAAGAGGAGATTCGTTTGTGACCACAGCTTGGGAGAAAGGCATTCGTATTTTAAACTAATTTTTATTCAGTAGCAGGTGGTGTGGTGGGAGCCGTCACTCACCTAACCTCCTATTGGTCACATGCAGGGGTCCCAGCTACATGCGGCCAGGTGGGCGAGCCCCCCCCAAATTTTCAATATTCTACAGTTGGGAGGGCCCCATTGGGCCCTCCCGCAGCCAAACAGTAGAGAAAGGCCAGACTAAATGGACGCTTTTTGGGATCTGACATCCTTCTTACATTCAGGTCCTCAAGCAAGTTTACATACATGCGCAGCAGATGCGCATTAAATGTGCACGCGGGTGGCGCTGTGAGTTAAACCACAGAGCCTAGGACTTGCCGATCAGAAGGTCGACGGTTCGAATCCCCGCGACGGAGTGAGCTCCTGTTGCTCGGTCCCTGCTCCTGCCAACTTAGCAGTTCGAAAGCATGTCAAAGTGCAAGTAGATAAATAGGTACTGCTCTGACGGGAAGGTAAACGGCGTTTCCGTGCGCTGCTCTGGTTCACCAGAAGCGGCTTAGTCATGCTGGCCACATGACCCGGAAGCTGTACGCCAGCTCCCTCGGCCAATAAAGCGAGATGAGCACCACAACCCCACAGTCGGCTACGACTGGACCTAATGGTCAGGGGTCCCTTTACCTTTAGATCTGCACTGCAAGGTAATGCCCTAAATTGCTTCAGGAAGAACTTTCTGAAGGCAAGAGCCTATTGACAGTGGAACAGGCTCCTTTGGAAGGTAGTGGACTCTTCTTCATGGAAGGCTTTTAAGCAGAGGTTGGGTGGCCACCTGCCATGGATGACCAGGTTGAGATTCCTGCATTGGAGTTGGGCTGGATGACGCTTCCAGCTCTCCAATTCTATGATTTTATAGGTGCTCAGCAAAGTCAGGACCAACTTGCTGCTGCTTTGCATGTTGCTGATTTACAGTGATGAGCCACGGACGCCTTGGGCTGGATCGGGCCCTTAGTGAGTCAGAACTGGAGGCACGCAAGCACTGGATGCGTAACGGACAGCCGCCAAACTCCTCGAATGCTCGTTCTTTGCGTAATTTCGTGGCTCCGTGCCACCTATGGGTCAACAGCCAAAACGGAAAACACACCTCTGTTGGGTAACAAAACATTCCTTCTTCTCCTGTCTTTTGCTCATCTCAACACATCGTTTGAGACTCTCGGCAGCTCTGAGAAATTCCAGCCTCAAAGAGAGAAAAGGCACCACAATCCCAAACCTGAAACTGGAAGTAGACAATCTGGAAAGGGCACACAGAGCTCTAAGACCATGCCAAAAGCCAAGACCCCTCCACAAGACATCACCATGTGCTTTGCCTGATACAAAAAGAAAGTTGAAATATGGAATAACCTCAGAAACTCAACCAACCTCCGATATGGAGAAAACTCCATCCAGGCCTTTCAGGATTTATCGCAAGAGACCCTAAACCGATAAAGGAAACCCACGTCCATGTATCCAATGCATAGCTGTCAACGTTTCCCGTTTTTTAAGGGAAATTCCCTTATTCCGAATAGGATTCCTTGCAAGAAAAGGGGAAAGTTGACAGCTATGATCCAATGTCTTCAACAAGCAGGAATCAAGTACCGATGGTGCTTCCCCTTTCACCTTGTTGTAACAACTGACACAACACAGCACACGGCCACCGACATACCTGAAGCCCTGCAACTACTGGAGAACCTTAACCCTCCACCAGAATGGCAACCATCGGACCCACCAAGCGACAACCAAGATGAAAATACAGTGAACAATTGGATGACAGTCAACAAGAGAAAAAAGAAACGACAGAAATGACACGACAATGCAAACCAAGACAGTCAAGTACCACTCACAGAACAGCCCTGCCGAACACACAACACAAGACCATGAACCAACCTCAGCTAAACCCACACACCACAGATTGATAAGCCTGCAACATCAACTACTGCAGGTTCAGTCAAATGTGATGAAACAGCTGCTCAGTTTAGATCATCTGGTGCCAAATTTTGAACTTCTAGCCAGAGACCATCAGAAGTCCTGCATGGGTCTTGAACCTGGAATTCTGGAAGCAGAGCCCATGTCACTAGCTCCTTGCAGCGGCATGGCAGTTCCGTGGTAGATCACCTGCTTTGCTTGCCGAACGTCTCAGGTTCAGTCTCCTAGCATCTCCAAGCAGGGATGGGAACGTCCCTTGTCTAAAACCCAGCCCTGTTGACTTGTCAGACTTGGCAGTTTCCTGTGGTGAGAACATAAGTAGGAATCTGCTGCAGAGGGCCGGAGATTGCAGCTGAAGTTCTCTGTCCTCTTATCCCAGACATATGGAAACCTGCTCCCAGCTCCGTACACGCACAGAGAAGTCAAACCTCGGTTGTCAAATGTAATCCGTTCCGGAAGCCCATCTGCCTTCCGAAACGTTCGACAACCAAATTGTGGCTTCCAATTGGTTGCAAAAGCTTTCTCCATTCAGTGGAAGCCGTGTCGGATGTTCAGCTTCCGAAAAACGTTTGAAAACCAGAGCATTTACTTCCTGGTTTTCAGCATTTGGGAGCTGAAGGTGTTTGGGAATTGAGGTTTGACTGTATTCAGAAGAGGCTCTGGGTCATAGTTCTCGGCTTAAATGATACAGAAAATAGCCAGGGGTTTAAGTTTCTGTTTCCTTCCTCTCTTTTTACATCGCTGTGCAACATCTTTCGAAATGACCTGGATGAAGGAATTGAGGGGGATGCTCATCAAATTTGCAGATGACACCAAACTGGGAGGGATAGCTAATGCCGCAGAATACAGATTCGGGGTTCAAAATGACCTTAATGGATTAGTGAACTGGGCCCAAACTAACAAAATGAATTTCAACAGTGACAAATGTGAGGTTCTACACTTAAAACCAGCTGTGCAAATATAACATGAGAAGCATCTGGCTTGCCAATAGTGCATGTGGAAAGGATCTAGGGGTCTTGGTGGACCACAAGCTAAACATGAGCCAACAGTGTGATGCAGCAGCAAAAAAAGCTAATGCTATTCTAGGCTGCATCAAGTATAGTGTCCAGATCAAGGGAAGTTATAGTACCTTGGTCAGACCTCACCTGTAGTACTGTGTCCAGTTCTGGGCACCACAATTGAAGAAGGATGTTGACAAGCTGGGATGGTTCTACAGTTCTATGATTCTATGGTTCTTTGATTAATTTGCACCCTCATGAATCTGGTTTGTGATCCTGAACACTAAGGAAGATGACGCAGTCCTCTGAAAATGTGTCAGGCAGAAGGAGATATCTACCTGGAGCTACTGAGCATTTGAAGTAGAACTTTTCCAAAGAACAGAGCAAAAATGATTTATCCTGCCATGGAACAGATAATAGAATCGTATGATTGAAGACCTGGAAGGGACACAAAGGTAAGGTTACCAGATGTCCCCGTTTCCCGAGGACAGTCCCTGGATTCACAAATCAGTCCCCATACAAAATCCATTGAAGTTGAAAAGTGTCCCCGGATTCATTGAAAAAAATCTGGTAACCTTACACAAAGGGCCATCTAGTTCAACTCCCTGCGAGGCAGAAATCACAGCTAAGGAACCCCCAACAGCATTCTGCTGCCAAACAGCTCTGACAATCCATTTAGTCAGAATCTCCTTTCTTGCCTTTAATCCATTGGTTTGGGTCCAATCCTCAGGAGCAACAGAAAACAGGTTTGCTCCATCTTCCATATGACAGCTCTTTAGATATTCGAAGAGGGCTGTCGTGTCAACTATCAGTCTCCTCTTTTCCAGGCTACACATACCCAGCTCTTTCAACCATTCCTCATAAGGCTTGGTTTCCAGACCCTTCACCACCTTGATCTCCCTCCTCTGCACACCTTCCAGCTTATCAATATCCTTCTTAAATTGTGGTGCCTGGAACTGGATGCAGGACTCTAGGTGGGGTCTGAACAAGACAGAATAGAGCAGCCGCCAAGACCATATAACACCGGTCCTGAAAGACCTACACTGGCTCCCAGTATGTTTCCGGGCACAATTCAAAGTGTTGGTGCTGACCTTGAAAGCCCTAAAGGCCTTGGTCCAGTATACCTGAAGGAGCGTCTCCACCCCCATCGTTCTGCCCGGACAATGAGGTCCAGCTCCGAGGGCCTTCTGGCAGTTCCCTCGCTGCAAGAAGCAAAGCTACAGGGAACCAGGAGGAGGGCCTTCTCGGTAGTGGCACCCGCCCTGTGGAACGCCCTCCCACCAGCTGTCAAAGAGATAAACAACTACCTGACATTTAGAAGACATCTGAAGGCAGCCCTTTTTAGGGAAGTTTTTAATGTGTGACATTTTAATGTATTTTTAATCTTTGTTGGAAGCTGCCCAGAGTGGCTGGGGAAGCCCAGCCAGATGGGAGGGGTACAAATAAATTATTATTATTATTATTATTATTATTATTATTATTATTACTTCCCTTGATCTGGAGGGCGCCAGGTTGGCAAACACAGTGCCACTTGTGGAATGAGTTGAATCAGTTGGGTTGTGGTTTTAACTGCACATGAGTAATACTACTGGAGGGGGTGGAGCAGAGGAGCTAGCAAAACCGCCCACTCAGCCTTACGCTGTCAAGAAAAAAAGGAAGAAGGAGTGGGAGAAATTGCAGTTGAAGATAAGTTGGTGAGGGTGGAGTTTTTCAGGGGAGGTGTGTCCAGGATTCTTCTCCCTTTCTGCACGTTTATAAGGCGAGGCAGGTCTGCTCCAGAGCTACAGAGAGCCAAGTTTGGAGAGCTGAGAGGGACTCTTGCTCAACTTGACACAGAAAGCGGAGAAGCGACCAGGCAGAGATCATGGGACGGCAGAAGGACCTTCTCTCTGCCATCGGCTTGAGGCTGCGGATCAGGAATAGACTTATCCGTCAGGCCCTGGCTGAGTGTCTGGGAACCTTGATCCTGGTGGTAAGTGGATTTTGGGGGAGCAATGGGCTTGGGAGACAGGAGAAGTTTTGGATTTATTGTATTGCACAGACGTAAGAGTCCAGATTCAGATTCTCAGAAACGTTGTGGGATAGTTTGCTGAGTGGTGATTCTGTGTGATCCTCAGAGGTTAAAAAGGGTTTGGCAGAAATTTTGGTTCTGGAAGACCCTCTTGCCTCTGCACAACTGCTTTTAACAGGATGTTTAGCAACAGAAATTCCCCTTTCCTTGTGTCCTGGTGGAAAGGGTTGTCTTCAGAAGCTAGGGAGGAATTGGAAATAAAACACTTTCAAAGGTCAAAATGTCTTGGAACAGGAAAGGTTTTGAGTTACACAGAACGGCAGCAAACAGTCTTGAAGTTTTCTGTGTAACCTGAAAGCCTGCATGTTCACACAGCCAGCCAAATTGACTCTCCAAAAAGATAGAACTGCAGGCAAGTTTGCATTTTTTACGAGGTACCCTGTAATCTCTCCCCGCAGCACCTCAAGCCTATGAATTCACGAGCAGAATTCTATAGTTATTATTCATAGGAGCAATGTCTCGTTTTCACAATAGCCTTGTAAGGTATGCCCTCCTCATAAAATCCCATTTCACAGATTGAGAACTGAGTCTAAGTAACTTTGCCAACCTGGTGCTCTCCAGAGGTTTTGGACTACAACTGTAACCAGCACAGACATAGTTCAAAACAACTGGAGGCTACGAGGTTGGTAGAGGCAGTTTTAGGTGTGAACTTATACTGTGAAAGTGGCCGCCACTTTTTGAGGGTGCCAACACCAGCAGTAGCTCCTGGCTGAGCAAGCCTTCAGTGGCAAAATTACGCTTTGCTCTGCATCGTAAGCGAAAGAACCCCAAGTGCTTGCCCAGTTCGAAAGCACGTCAAAGTGCAAGTAGATAAATAGGTACCACTCTGGCGGGAAGGTAAACGGCATTTCCGTGTGCTGCTCTGGTTCGCCAGAAGTGGCTTAGTCCTGCTGGCCACATGACCTAGAAGCTGTACGCCGGCTCCCTTGGCCAATAAAGCAAGATGGGCACCATAACCCCAGAGTCGTCCGCGACTGGACCTAATGGTCAGGGGTCCCTTTATCTTTACCTATGTAAATCTCACATGTAACTTGCAATAGCCCAACTTGGCTCCTTTCTTTTCCAAAATGCATGAGGCAGCTATACTGTCAGAACCTGCAACCCCCCCCCCAAACCAAACAACCCCCCCCCAAAAAATCTTAGGAACTGTAGTTTTTAAGGGTGCTGAGAAATGTAGCCCTGTGAAGAAATAAACTGCAGTTCCTTGCATTCTTGGGAGGAGGAAAGTGTGGTTTACATGTGCTTTAAGTGTACGGTGTATAAGTAGCCTGAAACACAGAATATATATGGGTTGTTGTTTTTTTAAAAAAACTTCTTTTAAGCTTGCCGCTGTGAAATAGGGAAATACCATTGCAGAAACGGCTCAGCAGTTTTTCAAGGCAAAGGCTCCCCAAGACTCTGAGCATCTGGGAGCTGTTGCTTAGCTGCATCCCTGTTTTAAAATCATAAAAAACCCAGAGAAGTGGCTTCCAGATGACCTGCTCCTTGAGCATTCCTCCTGATTTGCTTGCCCAAAGTCTGCTGGGTAGAGAGGTGGTACGGCGTCAGCCGTTGATGGAGCATTTGTTCTGAAGTGTTTGCAGGGAGGTTAGACATTGTTGCATTAAGTGAGCATCATCCTGTGCTTTCCAGTGCATTTTCCTCCCTTCCCTTCCCTCGTCTCCAAAAACCTTACCTTTTTGCGGGAATCGGACTTGTTTTGCTCAAATGGCACAACGTTAATTTGCTGGCAGGTGACTGAAAACCCACCTGAAAAGAGCGGCAGCCTGGAATTGTCTAGAGATGGGGATTCTGTGGAAAGAGGTTGTCTGAAAACCCCCGATGTGTGTGGTTTGTGTGGTCAGTGCTGTTGGCTTTCCTTGTTGGGTGTGGTGGGTGTTTTCAGAGGTGTGTGTGTGTCTGACTTGCCATTGTTGACACAAATGTTCACAATTATCACAGCCCCAGTTGACTGCTTTGCCTCTCTGCTGGGAATGTGAGATTGGTCTGAATGGGTTTTACTTTGAAAGAAGGGATAGCTGGCCTAAGAATGCCTTACTTGCTGCTGGTACCTCGGCACTTAACTGTTCAATTTATAGAAGGTCTAACATTGAGGAAGCTCTTTGATCGAACTCCTGGGATCTCTAGGAAGGGCTAGAAGAGATCTGAAATACTGGAGAGCTGCTGTCCATTTCAGCTTCAAATTCCTCCTTTCAGCTCGCTCTGTCCTCACCCTCCAATGTGCTGGAGGCTTGTCACACTCACCAAGCACTGATGCATACCTCATTCCAAAAGCTGGAGAGAGATTCCCAGCTATCAGGACCCTGCCATTCTCCCCCATCGGCCAGCTCCCACCAGCCACCGGGTATTATTCGGTAACAAGCCCTCCTAAACAGGAATGTCTGGTCAGAAGCGCTAAGAATAAAATTATCTTCCATCTACCCCTGGGCTGAATTCCTGAAGGCCAGAGGTCTTGGGCTGTTGTAGCACAACTCTGCGGCAGAACCCCTGTCATTTCACTGCGACCTGACTATACCTTTTCCATCTTCTAGCTTCCACTCCATTGACAGCTCCCTCCTACCCCTCTCATTTTAGCCATCTATTACCGGCTGCAATCGATTTTCATCAGGCACCAGCTCTCACCACTGTACTGCACTGTCTTGTTGGAAACCCAGCCAGATGGGCAGGGTAGAAATAAATTATTATTATTATTATTATTATTATTATTATTATTATTACACCCATGCAAATCTGCCATCTTGTACATGGCAATTTACTGGATAACTTTTTAAAAAACAAAAACAAAACCCAAGCAGACAGGCCCCTGCCCCGCAAAGGTTACAATTTAAAGTTTCACAGTAATGTGGGATCAGACAACGGAGGGACGAGAAGGATGGAAAAGGCAATGGGTAACGAATGATTTCGTGAGAAGCCTTTGAAATGGCATTAAAGAGGGAAGTCACTGTGTATAATTTCTCTATATGTATGCCCAGACTTCAGAGGGAATGGGAGGAGCTGTATGTTAAGAGATCCTTCAGAGGGCTGGGAACGAGGAAGCTTTTTCAAAGTGTCCTGAAGATCATCTGATCTGTTCCCAAGTTCAGCTTGCGTGGCGCAACGCCAGAGAAGCCCTTATAGCATTTAGCTGAGGGAAAACCAGAGCTGTAAATTTAATTGATTAGAGCGCAATCCAAACCATGTCTCCTTAGTAGTAAATCTCTTTGAATTCAACCGCGGGGCTTACTTCCGGGTAAATGGGGTTAGGAACACTGCCTTCACTGGTTACATTAATCAGTTAGGAAGACCTCTCCAGGGACTGAAAGGACACCTGGAGGAATTAGCCAAAAGATTCCCTTTCATAACGTATTGTTTTAAATGTAAATATTTATTTTAAAATTGCATTATTTTAAATGCAAGTGTTTATTAGGATGCATGAAAATGTGTGCAAATTTAATTATTGGACAGTCCAACCATAGCTGTCAACTTTCCCCTTTTTTAAAGGGAAATTCCCTTATTCCGAATAGGATTCCTCGCAAGAAAAGGGAAAAGTTGACAGCTATGAGTCCAACCCAAGGCAGTTTACTCTGAAGTAAGCCACACTCTGTTCAGTGGGGCTTCCTCCCAGGGAAGCATGCATAGGATTGCAATCTTAGACTGAAATCCTAGGAGGAGTTAGCACAACCAATGCACCAAAAGAATGCAGATCCAATACAGATCTAAAAGCTGCCTTTCCTCCCACCCCCAAGTTCCCCCTCTATTGTACTGGCTCCTTCACTCATTCACTTCACATCCACTTTGCCCCAGGCAGTGGTGATGATCTGCACCATGATGGCTGGTTGTGGGCTGGGACTGGGAGCTTCTCTCGGCGGCTGGAGAAAACCTTCTGGGCTGAGCCAGGAGCAACTTTCAGGCTGACCATTAGGTCCAGTCGTGGCCGACTCTGGGGTTGCGGCGCTCATCTCGCTTTATTGGCCGAGGGAGCCGGCGTACAGCTTCCGGGTCATGTGGCCAGCATGACTAAGCTGCTTCTGGTGAACCAGAGCAGCGCATGGAAACGCCGTTTACCTTCCCACCGGAGTGGTACCTATTTATCTACTTGCACTTTTATGTGCTTTCGAACTGCTCGGTTGGCAGGAGCTGGGACTGGGCAACGGGAGCTCACCCTGTCGCGGGGATTCGAACCGCCGACCTTCTGATCAGCAAGTCCTAGACTCTGTGGTTTAATCCACAGCGCCACCCACATCCGGAGCCTTTTATACCTTGGGCCAAAGTTCCTTCTCCTCCTCTGGGGGCCCAGCTTGGTGGGGCTGAGGAGCAGGAAGGGGGAAGAGGATGGCCGTGGGGTGTGGCGCCCTGGGCCAAGCAGGAGGCCCCCATAGCTGCTTGCCTCGAGGAGCCATCAGGCCCCAGCTGCTCTCTTTATCAGCTCCTCGCAGGCAGCAGGACCAGGCACTGAGCACACAGCCCAGGAGACGCCCTGGAAGCTCACAGCCCAAGAGCCATTTTGCAGGGGCAAAACACACCCCACAGACCCATTTAGACCCATTGCACAGATGAAGGCACAATGGGAGCAGTAAGGGAAATGTCCTGGGTGACACAAAACCAGAGCTCCCCTCAACGAGCCCCCAAAAGGGGGTGTCTAGGATTGGCAGGACTCTGGGGGAAGAGGGGCTGGAGTCTGGCTTGAAAGAGGGGGTCAGTGGTTTGTGGGGAACTGGGCCGGCCAGGAAGCAAGAGTGAGAGGCAGGGGAAGCTTCAGAGCTGGAGGAAGAGGAGGAAGAAGAGGCAAGGCAAGGGCCAGGGGCTTCCTCACCTCCTTCTGCATCTCAGTTTCTCAGCACCACGAGAGGACTGAACAGGATTATTGGGGGTAAATTATCCTTGCAATTTCCACCCAGAGACAGGAGGCAAAGGGCTTCACTCGCAGTTCGTCTCAATACAAAAATCTCCAAATGGGTCCGAACTTCAATGCCTAAAACTCCAAGGATCTAGAGATCACGCTAAGGGTGGCCAAATTCTGTGCAACTGCCATAAAACTCAGGGAACAAGCTGTCCTACCAAAATGATTAAGGTTTTAAACGACAATTTTAGGTTATATTTTAGTGATCAAGGTTTAATATCTATTTTTAATTGCCGCTTGTCTGAATTTTCTTTGTTATACCCAATTGCAGTTCAATGGATTCCTGTTGTGATTTTTGAATTCCCTGATATTGTAAGTGAGCCGGAACTGGTCTGTGGCCGTAATAATAAAGTTTAATTCAATTCAATACCTGGCTCTCGCTCTGGCATGGATTGTGGGAGGCAGGGAGGCACTGAGTGCAAAGTGCTTTGCCTGCTGGAAACCCTCCTTAAGAAGCTGAGGTTCTCCTCCACCACCAATGCAGAGGGACTTCTGAGTAAACATGTAAAACTCTGTGTGGTAATCTCAACTGGGGTTTCTTAAAGCCTTAGTGAGAACTTCAGCTTTTTCTGCAGTGAGAACTTTCACTCCTGTACGCCTTAGGGAATTCCTGCTTCTCAGAAAACGCTTCCATCAGTGCCAGGTTTAAGAAATTAATCTCAACACGCCCTGCAATCATTCGAGATCCATATCACATCTTCATTAGAGCAAAGAAAGCCTGCAAAAGCCTCCAGGTGAAACAGTCCCCCTGCAACGCTCCAGGGATTTGCTTTCAACAAGGAAACTGCTTCCATCGGTGTGTTTTTAAATGAGTAATAAAATATAAGGAGTGCGGAGCTACAGGAAGATGAACTTTAGCAGGGACTAGTAGACTCTTAAACATCTGCACAAGAGGCAGTAACTGTTGGGCAAGGTCTCTCTACCTGGAGGGCTTGTTATCTACCTGCTGGTACACACCCATCCGGCTCGACAGGGCGGGGCAGTTGAGCACGCAGCAGCCCCAATAAAATGGGACCCAAACCCCTGGAAGGAAAGAGAAAGTGGCCACTTCGAGAGTGCCATAAACTTGCAAAACAGCAAGGAGAAATGTCCCGTTGCAAAAGCCGCCTTGTTGCGTGAGGCCAAACCAGAGCATTACGCACACAACGTGCAATTTTGTTGCCTTCTGCTGTGATCTTGATCTGGATGCAACTATGCTGGATATTTGCATCAATAAGAAAGTTATAGAATCACAGATTTGTAGAGTTGGAAGGGACCCTGAGGAATCCTAGCTGAAGAACTCCTGACAGATGGGCCATCCAGCCTCTGTTTCAAATTGAATGTTTTTAAATGAACCCACCACCTTCCAAGTGGGTCAGTTCCACTGTCAAATGGCCCTTGCCACCAGAAGGTTCTCCTCAATATTTAATCAAAATCTCCTTCCTTGTCATTGGAATCCGTTGTTTGAGCAGCTGTGCCTGCGTGGGAACACCAGTGCAGCTCTCTGAAGGACTTGCTGTGCTGAGTTGCAACTACATGGGTACAGACCTTACGCATCAGTAGGACTTATGATATTGCACCTCTCTGAGGGTCTTGTGCTGTGCAGCTGATCCCTAACCTCTTCTCCCCTCAAATCTTGGGGTGCTGGCCTGTTTGCTTTGCCAGATGCTCTGCTTTGTTCTCTGGTGGTGAACACTATTCGCTTCTGAGCCAGATGCAGGGATAAAGTCCTGCCTGGAAGTCGCTTCTTAATCCGCCGCTCTCTTTTCCTGCCTTTGCTAAAGTGGTCCAGATCTTTTGTAGTGACATCTGGAATAAAGTTTTTTTTTAAAGGGGGGGAGAGTTCAAAGGCGGAAGGCAAACATCTGGGATTTCCCTTCCAACCAAAGCTGCTTGTCATTAAGACAGTGATCTGAAGGTGGCTTCTTAACACATAGGAAGTTGGAGGCACTGATGCTTCCGAATGCCAGTTTCTGGAAACCACAAGAGGGGAAATTGAGCTCTTGGGCTTGCAGGCATCTGGTTGGCTACTGTTGGAACAGAATACAATTGGCCTGATCCAGCAGGATCCTCTCCTTATGTTCTTACGATATGATTTACCGTATTTTTCGCTCTATAAGAAGCACCAGACCACAAGACGCACCTAGGAAAACAAGAAAAAAAATATTCTGAATCTCAGAAGCCAGAACAGCAAGAGGGATCGCTGTGCAGTGAAAGCAGCAGCAATCCCTCTTGCTGTTCTGGCTTCTGCGCAGCCTGCATTCGCTCCATAAGATGCACACACATTTCCCCTTACTTTTTAGGAGGGGAAAAGTGAGTCTTATAGAGCAAAAAATACAGTATCCCAGACTTGCTCACACTCATGCCATTTGGACTTTTTACTGTGGTCACAGAGAGATTGAGGCATCTCAATCAAGAGCAGAGATTTGCGCGTGTGCGCGCGCGCATGCACACACACACACACACACACAGAGAGAGAGAGAGAGAGAGAGAGAGAAGTTTTCTCTCCTCAATTTAGTCCCCAGATCCGATGCACTATGACAGCTTCAACCATCCTGGTGGTCTCCAGACCCTCCATCTGCCCTGATTTCCAGGGACAACCGTGGAATTACAGAAGCCATCTCTGTTTGTGATTTCATCCCCAAAAGTCCTGCTTTTCGATGTCCCTATTTGCACTGAAGAAATGTTGGAGAGGATGCTATCAGCCTCAGCCAGCCTGGCCACAGGAGTGGTAATCAAATACACCTGGAGGGCACCAGGTTGGGGAAGATTGCATTGTGCAGGTGGCAGGCTTTGAAGGTTTTTCTTCCAACCCATCCTCTTCCAAAGGTTAAAGAAACTCGCAGTTGTACTCAAATCTGCTTACTTTAAAAGAGATTTTCTTTTAGCCAATACGAAAAGGTTTGCGCTTCTGTTCACTTGCACCAAAGCCCCACCTCCTGAAATGACTTGAGCAACACAGCAACGCAGGAAGAACACAGGAAGCTGGCTTCTTCTGAGTTGCGCCATTTAGTTCAGTATTGTCTGCACGGACTGGCAGCAGTTATCTGGGCTTTCGGGCAAGGTTTTCTCCCAGGCCTCTTTGGAGAAGCCAGGGATTAAGCCTGCGACCATCCGCATGCAAGGAAGAGGCTCTGCCACTGAACTATGGCCTTCTCCAGCTGCAACACACTGACCACCAGCAGAGATTTGCAGAATGTGTGCTGCAGCCATCACCAGTGGCAAGCAAAGCCCTCTTGTTCCAGGGCGCCAGATTTTTAAACTTTAAGGTGAACTGATCTCCCACCTCCTCTTTGCGTGAAGGGATCTCGTCGCTAGGAGCTCAGAACCTCTGTTCCTTTAAACGTCAGCCTTTCGTGTTTTTAACTGGGTGTTTGTGACGGATTGCCTAGCTGACTGATTTTGGCAGGTTGGATTAGCATTCGCTGGTACGGTATTTGCTGTTGTTTGCGCACCGCAACAAAGGAGAGTTGTGAACAGAGGAGGCTTGGCTGTTCTCCAAAAAGAGCAGCTCTGGAGAAAGGCAAACGCAGATGGATCTGCCCCATGGGGGCGCTCTCCCTTGGACAGTCCTCCTGTCAATCACCATGGAGGGCTCATCCACACTTGCATGTGGCCCATGTTTTATTCTCTTTGTCCCGAATGAGAGGTTTTTCCTTCGCCTTGCCGCTTTCCCAGGGAAAACCCACCGTTTGCTGCTGAATCGGAACAAATGTCAATCTTCAGAAAACCCGACTGATGTCTGTAAACAGTGGGCTTTCCTGGGGGAAATGGGTGGGGCAAATGAAAAACCGCTTGCATGGGAAAGTGGAATTGTGGATGAAGGAGAGCTGTCCGTTCTCTTCCTGATGCTTTTTACGTGGAAAAACACTCTGATAAATTGTGCTCTAAATTGTGCAAATGGGTGGCACATAATCTGGGGTGCCATTTAGACTTTGCACCCCAGGCTCCATAAATCTCTGGGCTGACCCCTACCCTGGGACAAAAGTTTCCTGTGCGCTTTTAGCATAGCTGTCAACTTTTCCCTTTTCTTGCGAGGAATCCTATTCAGAATAAGGGAATTTCCCTTAAAAGAAGGGGAAACGTTGACAGCTATGGCTCTTAGCAACATTGGGCTCAGGAGGAAATAAGTTTCAAGAAATGCAGGGTTTTGTGGCCTGTCAGTCACTCCTTTTAATCTCCATCTCTCACCTTCCACTATGTGGGGCCATTCTCTCATTCAAGGTCTCAGAGCCTCGAGATTTGACAAAAGCCTTGAGCAACTCCAACTGAGCCAGGTTTCATTGTTCAAAAGAATCCAGTTTTCCCGGAAGCTTTGAATCGGCCCCTGTTGCTGCGGTTAAGGCTGGTTTGCAAAGGCTGTTTGCGCTTCATGCTTCGTCGCCTTGACCTCCCTCGCAGGGAAGTTGTGACTTTGGGCGATAACATTCTTTCTGGGCTAGTCGAACATACACACTGCAAAGACTTGTGTGTGTGTGTGTTTGTCCTATACTGATTCAGAGGTCATAGGACAAAGTTAAAGGACAAATAACCCTTCAGAGCTTTTTGCGTCCGACAAGGAGCAGAAAAACAGAGAGAGGGGGGAAAAAAACCACTTTGTCTGTTTAAGGAAGGGGAGGAACCCTAATCATAAGGGCAAACAGAGGACTAGCTTGCATAATGCACAAATAAAAGTTCTTTTCTGTAGGCATGCTGATAAACTTATCCATTATGCTGTGCATACAGCGTACTTCAAAATCACTAAAGTCCACATTCTGTGCCAAGCTAATCGAAACTGCAGCAGGAAATGTGGAATCCTCAGCCTGTTATGACTGAAGAAATTCAGCTGTGTTGCTTGGTTATTCTACTGTCTATCTTGAGATATTCGGATTGGAAGCTTTGCTAATGTATATGGCATGTGTGCCAATCAGATGGCCGGATCCTGTGTCTCAAATATCAGGCTGATTCCTGTGTGCCCAGTGAATATATCTTTGTTTTATACCCGGCCGTCGATTCTGTTGTCAGCAGCTGTTGAAGCCCACCTGCCATGTGGGCTGTGCGATAATGTGGCAGAATGATAATTCATTCCAAGCTGAGCCAGGCTGCAGTTCTTGGATGTGTTTCCCCCCCTGGTGCTTTTAGTGGGACTGAGGATGCAACATTGTCTAGCCTCCCTGAAAGTAGAGACATTAAGCAGACCTTGTCTGATTTTCCCACAAACAAGTTAAGGTGAATGCTCAATACACAAGTGTCTGGAAGTACCCTAGAATTTTTGGATTTGTGAAGATCTGCATGATTCGTGGCTCAGCAGATTGACACAAATGTTTTTCTACTTCTGAATTGTGATATTTTGGAGGATATTTAAATCCATAGCTCTAGATCCAACCTACAGGCTACTAATCAAAACAACAAGATCAACAATATATTTAAATCCATGTGAGAGATCAACTTCTCTTATGGCACTTTTTGTAGTGCATAGATGCAAAAAAAGGAATCTTGGTTTGGTTTTGATTTTAAATCTTCAGCCTGCCTTCATTCCAAGTTTGCAAAAGTTGCGCTAGCCAGCAAACCATCAGCTAATTCAATAGACTCTCTTGCCCCACCTGCATGTTACAGGTGGGCTGTCCTTCCTTCATCATTTTCAAAACACCACTTATAAGCATTTAAAAAAAACCTAAACAAAAACAACAACTACCCAAATCCCCCAACGAAATCAGAGCCAACAATTTACATTTTGGAAAACTGCTTCAGGACAGTAGGAATGATTTAGTGACATCACTGCTTCTAGCCAATCAGTGCTGTGCACAACCAACTTCCGCTGTAAACACTCTAAACTGGGTTCTCCTAAGCTCAGTTTAGGATGGAAGGTTAGAATGTGGTTAGTGAACATCTGCAGCAGGATCACCTCTTAGAATGCCTGAAGAATAGAAAGGGAAATCACTGGATGCCTTTCATAAAGTAAAGTTATACTTTGGTGCTGCTAGAGGATGTGATCCACCAAACTGGATTTGACCAGGATTTTTTTTTTCTCCTTTTAGGTGTTTGGTTGTGGTTCAGTGGCCCAGTCTGTACTCAGCGGTGGAAAAAGCGGACAGTTCCTGACCATCAACCTGGCTTTTGGTTTTGCTGTGACTCTTGGAATTCTGATCGCTGGACAGATCTCTGGTATGTGTCTGAACTTTATGATAGGACACAGATTTGGCCACAGTTGACTAAGGACCTCCCATTGTGGAATTTAGGTCCACCTGAATCTTACTGTCTGTGAGTAGGTATTCCCTGTACCTTCCAGGAACTGAGAGCAGCACTTGAAGGCTGCAGCCATGGCTCACCTACTTGGGAGGAAACCTCACAGGATATGGACTTAACATGGATTTATCTTATTCTAAAGCAGACATGCATTTAAATTTAAGTCATGTGTGATGAGAGAACTCTTGCGCAGTAGCTTACTTTGCATAATTGAGGCAGGGGTTTATGTGGTTTAAATTAGACATAAATTAAACTTGCTCCAGCTTTGCATTACCCTGAAACAAACTTGTCCTCTTTCGAAGAAGCAACCTTTGCGTCAAGACTTTGACATGCTTAGTCATGTCACGAGAAGGATCCCTGATCCTTGGAGGGTTGCACCACCCTTGCTGGTCATTGACCGTATTAAAGATATTTGATTTGGTTGCACCACCTACGAGATGTCCCCAGTAATATGAGCAGCCTTAGAACCATAGAACTGTACAGTTGGAAGGCTCACCTAGCCCAACTCTCTGCCATGCAAAGCCCTCTCCATCTTATGCGTGCCTGGAAACAAAACAAGCGCCCTAACCATGGCATTTTTCCACAGGTGCCCATTTGAACCCTGCTGTCACCTTCGCCATGTGCCTTATGGCCCGGGAACCTTGGCTCAAGTTGCCTATTTATTCCTTAGCACAAACCATCGGGGCATTCCTAGGAGCGGGTATCGTCTTCGGCTTGTACCATGGTAAGTGAGCAAGCGCATGGGTTGAGCATGTCTTCCCGAGCCTCTGGAACCTGCCTTTCCTTCTGACTTAGATCTGGAATGGTAATGGGGACTTGAAATTAACACAGTTCCTTCTTAAGAGTTTTAGGACATGGCAGTTTAATTCAGGGCAGGAATTACCGTATTTTTCGCTCTATAAGATGCACCAGACCATAAGACGCACCTTATGGTTTTCGGAGGAGGAAAACAAGAAAAAAAATATTCTGAATCCCAGAAGCCAGAACAGCAAGAGGGTTCACTGCGATCCCTCTTGCTGTTCTGGCTTCTGGGTAGCTGCGCAGCCTGCATTCGCTCCATAAGACGCACACACATTTCCCCTTACTTTTTAGGAGGGAAAAAGTGCCTCTTATAGAGCGAAAAATACTGTATTTTGCATCATTTCTCCTCTGGTCTGGTGGGGCTTCTCTTTCCTTTGGTGGGCAGGCAAAGTGAACAGTGTTTAGATCTTGGCCCTAGAGGGGGAATAACCCAGTTTCCATAGAACCTTACAAACCTCAACATTAGAATGAGGGAATCAAGAGCAGCTGCAGCTGAGCTGAAGGAATACACATTGAGGTCCTGTTGCCTTTAATGTTGAGACTTTGCCTAGAGTCTCCCCAGTTAGTGCACTGGGATTCAGGGATGGGGAATTTCCTGTGGTCCTGTTGGATTCCAACTCCCACTAACCCCAGCTAGCCTGACCAAGGGATGATGGGAGTTGTAGTCCAACAACTTCTTGGGTGTGTGTGATTTTCCTGGTTTAAACATAGATGAATTTTTTACCACAATAGCCAGCTTTGTTTCTTAAAAACAAATAATTTTTTAAAAAAACCAACCCTTTGGGGGAGCACAGGATCCCCATCCACACTGTATCCTGTCTACTGATGTATCCCCCCTCAAGAGTAAGACTAATCTTCACCATATATTTATGAAATAAAGAAACTGGGAATGGTGGCAAGGCCTTGATGAGATGTCTACTTTGTTTCCTTTTTTTCTAGATGCTATTTATGACTTTGGTGGGAGCCAGCTATTAGTCACCGGTGCCAACGCCACCGCAGGGATATTTGCTACTTACCCTTCAAAGCACTTGACCCCCGTCAATGGATTTTTTGACCAGGTAAGAATGGGAGGGCTTTTGTAAGGCATTCCGAGCCAAAAGAGCCCGAATGCTGTAAGAAGTGCAACACAGAGACATTTTGAGGTGGAGGAAAACCAGATTCTCATCTCTTCCTCCTTCCCCTTCCCCTTCTCAGTTCATCGGCACAGCAGCCCTGCTCGTGTGTGTCTTGGCTATCGTGGACCCCCACAACAACCCAGTCCCCAAAGGACTGGAGGCTTTCACCGTTGGCTTTGTCATCTTGGTCATTGGAACATCCATGGGCTTCAACTCTGGATATGCCGTCAACCCGGCTCGAGACTTTGGACCCCGCCTCTTCACTGCCATTGCTGGCTGGGGCTCAGAGGTTTTCACGTAAGTTGATGTGCCTTCACAGTAGACCATGGGTGGTCCTCCAGAGGTTGCTAGACTACACCTCCTACCACCCCTGGCCTTGCCCATGGTAGCTTAGGCACGTAAGAGCTGAAGGGCTGGTTCTTCATCCTTGCAGAAATTGTCATCAACAGGACTTGTGTTTGTTTTTATTTAAATTTTCATTCATGAGCAGGGAGCTCGTAATAATGAACTTTGGCTTGGGAACATCACAGCTGCTATTGTTACAAAGGCTGGTGTTTTGGAGGTGCTATCACATAAATAGCTGCCCTCCAGCCGTTTCAGACTCCAGCTCCGATCAGCCCCACCTAGCATAGCCAGCGGTCAAGGACGATGGGAATTGTAGTCCACAACTTTGGGGAGGCATCTGAAGCTCAAGCATTTTCAGTGGTTTTGGTTTTATGTTTCGGTTGCTTTTTTTAACTGGGACACGCTGACAGCAACTGGAGACTTTTATGGGTGGCTTTTGGACTTTGATCTGCCTTCCTAAAATTTGGAGGAGCCTTTAATGATGGAAAGTTAGTGTCTGAGGCTCAATATCCCTGTCAAGACATAGTCCTGGTCTATGCGCCTAGGTAGGATCTGAGGACAATTTAATTGCAAGCAAGGCCTTGGCTGACCTCCTGAGAGATATTTTTGAGGTTGACACCATCCATGGAGTCTCACGTACCAGCTGCCATTGTGAGAGGGAGGAGTTTGGGATTGCTCCGTGGTGGATGGTTGAGTTATAGAGTGATATTTCCCAATTTTTTGAAAACGTGGAGACATGAAGCTAAATTCCAGGTGTCCTTGGACCTCAGGTCTACTTTTAGGGGGAAAACTGAATTACTAACAGGAGAGGCTGTCACTGGATGGGGAGTGCTTCCTGGGATGGGACAGGCAGTCTCTTCTGAGAGGAGAAATGGGCCTTGAAGCAATTTTGGATAGAATAAAGAGGAGAAGCACACAACCAGATTGGCCGACCTTCCTATCTCACCCATCCATTTCCTTGTGTTTGCCTCTCACAGGACTGGCAGGGGCTGGTGGTGGATCCCCATCGTGGCTCCTTTCCTTGGAGCCACGGCTGGCGTGCTGGTCTACCAGCTGATGATCGGTTGCCATGACGAACCGCCTCAGCACCACCTTCACCAACACGAATGCGACGAGGAGGAAGCCGTCAAGCTGTCCAAGGTGAAGCAGAGGGACAATGTTTGAGGCTCCCTGAAGAAGCATGACCACCCCTTGGTGTGCCAATGGACTTTTTTTGTTACAAAAACCAACCAAAAAACCCAAAAAAATAAACAAAGAACTGATAGAACCAAAAAGAAGAGAGCAAGACACACAGTTAGGAATTTCTTCTCCTTACACCCATCCCCCCCCCTACTTTGCCTCTGCTTTCCCCAATTGCTACGCCACCCTTGGTTCATTTGCTTTACAAAATATGCTGTAAGCTTGAGGATTTGGGGCCTCACTCTGGCTGCACTGGGGAATAGTGTGCGCCACGGAAGTCATCATAGCTGTCAACTTTCAGATTCGAAAATAAGGGATCAGCAGCCTCACCTGTCCCGGGGATAGTCTACGGGATAGCTAACAATCTGGGATAGCAGCGGGAAACGGCGCTGGAATAAGGGAATTTCCCACAAAAAAAGAGGGAAGGTTGACAGCTATGGAAGTCATTAAAGCGTTAAGGCCTTCGAAGCCTGAATCCTACTTTTCCCAAGTACCAACAACTCCAAACCTCACTCTTGGCTCCCTGACACCCCCTTTGGCAAGATGCATGCAAGCAGATATTGATGCGGGAACACCTTTCTAAATAGTTTTGGGGTGACCAGGTGGGTTAGAGTTAGGAAAGGTATTATGCCATTGCTGCCATTGCTCCACGGGACAAATCTCTGCAGGCTGGTATCATCTCCTGGCTGCCAAGGTGGGGTTACGGGCCTTGCCTGGCCAATCTTTTCCTCAGAACAAGCTATAGCAGAGGAAAGATTTCACGGGCAGGAGTGATTTCGAGCTCCTTTTAGGGATGGGCATGAGAAACCACTGCCTGGAACGTCAACAGAATAAAAAAGACGAGGCGTTGGGAGAACCTGAAGGAAATGTTGGTTTTCATAGGGTGCAAGATTCATTACAGAGGCTCTTTGCCGCATCAAGCTTTGTAAATAAAAAGATGTAACGCCTTGTTATGTTCTGTCACAGTGTCCGGGCTTTGAAAAATGTGTGTGTGTGTTAGAGAGAGCATGTAAATTGAGTTTTTACTTCAGGGTGTTTTATATATATATATATATATCAATGCCCCTTTACACATATCCCTAGTTAGTGAGTTTTCAGCTCCATTCATGCCAGCTACAATTCTACACACTTGAAATCAAGAAGCATAAAGGCCCTTCACTCTCTTGTGGTCTTTTATTGCGATAAACACTAATTCCACCCTAGGCACTCGTTGCAGAAAATGTTGGGATAAAATGGTGCCTGGAACGGTGCTGAATTTATGGCGGTGCCGGCAGTTTCCTCGCACAGGGAGCTGAGCCGAGAGCCCACAAAATAACAATAAATAAATAACAAATTATTGTGAAAATAATAATTTTGAGGGGGCGCTGCCAAATTTTGTCCTCGCTCAGGGCACCATATTGCCAAAGTACGCCCCCGCCAGGAACCTGGAAAGCCAGGAACCTTGGTCCATCCGCCAATTGTCTCCACTGATTGGCAGCAGCCTTCCAGGACACATTCCCAGCCTTAGCTGGAGATGCCAGGATTCGAACCTGATTCCTACGTGACTCCACTTAGCATTCATGCCTATGACACAGAGGCATCCCCCGCAGGACCCAACATGGGAGACCTTCTCCGTTTAGCAAAGCAGAGTGGTATTACCTGTTAGGTTCACTTTTGGGATGCTCAGAACTGGGCTTCCTCTCACCCTAAGGCTGTTGTTTTGTTGCATGACTCCAATTTATAAGGCAACCAGGCGTCGCTAAAATGTTTTCAATTGTGATTTTAAATAATGCACGGCATTCCTTGGATCGGAACATCGCCCCTCTTGTGGGGGGAATTCCTTCCTGTAAGGAAGGGTAAAAAAACATCAGGCGTGTGCTTCCCACCCAACCCGATTTGATGCATAGCTGCAGTCCGCCGTGTTGCTCCAATACAATTTGTAATGTCTACACCATTTGTAATGTATTTCCAATTTGTCTTTGTTTTTTTAATAAAAATAAATGCATATATAAATTGTCTCATTACAGTCTTCGGGGTTTCCTTTTTCAGTTGGTCAGTAATAAAAGTTGGTGGGAAATGCAAAAATAAAAAAATAATGCCCAGCAGATTTAAAAACAAAAACAAACAAACCTGTGCTACTAGATCCCAGAGGCCTGGTGAGATCAACTGATCGGCAGATAGATTGCTGCTTTCTTAGGGTTGCCATATGTCCTCTTTTTCCAGGACACACCTTCTTTTTCGGGAGTAAAATTTCTGTCCGGGTGGATTTTTAAAATTGTCTCTGGCTTTGCTTTTTGGATGAGATTTAGACATAACTGGTGGTTAAAGACTTGCTCTCCTCTTCTTTTCTCCTAACCACTTCAGCAATATATCACAGCTTATATAGCCTACTTATAGTAGGGGTATTTAAAATAAGAGTCATCTTAGCATCCTCATTTTTGCTCTTCAAAACATGGCAACCCTAGCTTTCATAGAACTGTAGAGTTGGAAGGGACCACAAGGGTCATCTAGTCCAACCCCCTGCAATGCAGGAATATTTTCCCCAACGTGGGGCTCGAACCCATGACTCTGAGATTAAGAGTCTCATGCTGCACCGACTGAGCCAAAGGCTCTGATTGGAATGGGCCTGGTGAGCTTCATTTGAGAAAGCATTCCTTGGGAAAGGTGCCACCAGAAAGAAGGCCCTGCCTCTGGCAGAAATCAATTCAGTTTTAGAAGCGGATGAAGTGGGTCTCCCTCAGAGAAGGGCCAGAAGGAAGGAGGTGGCCAAACCATGGCTGTGTAAGAGGGGAAAGAAACACTTTATCCATGTCTGGAGGTCCAGTGGTTCATGAGTCAGGCTGCAAGGGAATGATAATGAGACTAAATTGCACAGAGTGTCTAGGTCCTAAACCTCTCAAATGTGTGTCTATACCTGGGAGCCTTCTCTGCACAGAGTGTGGTGTTCTTGTGCATGGAAGATGCAGTCTGAGATGGGATTGTGCATTTTGCAAACAAAACAGCTCTGTGCCACTGCAAAAAAAATCCCATCGCCTCGAACCATAGGCTACTCTACCTGTTGCTGTTGGAGTACAACATTGTCCGCTGTTGTGCTCCTGCGTAACTGTAATCTCACATAGCCCATGCAAAAAAGATCCCAGGCTGTTCCACCCCTTAGGCTCACAGACCAAGCCTTCTGCTTGCTGGCATTGATAAATTGCCTCTTGCCCAGGCAGGAGATTAGAAAATGGCTGTTCTCTGGGCTTCTCCACACCCTGTTGGAAATGAGTCAAGGCTTTTTTCCCTGACAACGCTGAACTGGAATTTCATATACTGCATCAGTACCTTTCCCTATTGATATTAATTATAGCAATAGTAATATTGTCTTGGTTATTCTTAAATCACCCTGGTGCGTTATCCCGGGAGTGTGGACTGGGGAAAAGGACATGAGATATTCTTTTGGGCGAGACATTACAAGTTGCAGGAATGAGCACTGTCCCTTGTCTTGAAATAACTTGCTTAAAGATAAATTTTATTTTATTTTCTCTTGGAAGAAGGTTCCTCCCAACTCATGGGAGGACTATTTATAGCAGTGTTTCCCAAACTTTATTGCACCCCCTTAGTTCCACAAACGTGCCCCCAGTTCTCTCTACCCTATAGGTAAAAAAAAGAGTAAAGGACCCCTAGATGGCTAAGTCCAATCAAATTTGACTATGGGGTGTGGCGTTCATCTCGCTTTTCAAGCCAAGGGAGCTGGTGTTTGTCCACAGACAGCTTTCCAGGTCATGTGGCCAGCAGGACTAAACCACTTCTGGCACACAGAGGACCGTGATGAATGCCAGAGCACACGGAAATGCCGTTTACCTTCCCATCACAGCAGAACCTGTTTATCTACTTGCACTGGTGTGCTTTCAATCTGCTAGGTTGGCAGAAGCTGGGACAGAGCAATGGGAGCCTACCCCGTTGCACAGATTCGAACTGCTGACCGTGCGATCGGCAAGCCCAAGAGGCTCAGTGGTTTAGGCCACAGTGCCATGCCCCTACCCTACAAAAAGCATTCTTCAGAATAGTGCTTTGCTTGACCCACTAAGGGAGAGAATCGCCCAATGAAATTCAAAACGGACACAATCAATTTCACAGTTACCCAAAATCCAATTAAAACTATGTAGCTCAATTCATTTTCCCAGAAGTGATGTATGGAAGTGAGACAACAAAGAAGGCTGTTTGCTGAAGAATTGATGCTTTTTTAATTCTGCTGCTGGAGGAGACTCTTGAGAGTCCCATGGACTGCAAGAAGATCAAACCTCTCCATTCTGAAGGAAATCAGCCCTGAGTGCTCACTGGAAGGACAGATCCTGAAGCTGAGGCTCCAAGACTTTGGCCACCTCATGAGAAGAGAAGACTCCCTGGAAAAGACCCTGATGCTGGGAAAGATGGAGGGCACAAGGAGAAGGGGATGACAGAGGATGAGGTGGTTGGACAGTGTTCTTGAAGATACCAGCATGAGTCTGACCAAACTGCGGGAGGCAGTGGAAGACAGGAGGGCCTGGCGTGCTCTGGTCCAGGGGGTCACGAAGAGTCGGACACGACTAAAGGACTCAACAACAACAAGCTCAATTCATTTGACATATTTTATGAACTTGACCCAGTGATCCTAACTTTTCAAAGTCTGGTAGTCATTGACACCTTCAGCGTCCCCCCCTGACACCCGTTTTCCTATTAGCACCCCACCCACAGGTAACCCCACTCCCCACCCCGGGGGACAGGAGTGATTTATAGGTTTCCTTGTTTTCTCTTGGCTGATGTGCCTCTCCCAATGGTGGGAAAGTTTCTACCTTGATTCCTTGCATGCGTGGGAGAGGCAGGGCAAGGGACTGTCAAGGACGGAGCACTTTCAGATTATTAAACCTTTCAACGTCTTTCTGGGTTTTTCGTTTCCCTGTCAGGCTCTCTGCAAGACAGGACGGGCTTGTTTCAAGTTGGCTCAGAAAGGCTGTATTTTATATCCCTTTCGACGCAGTCACTGGGGACATAGATTCATACATATATAGACACATATATACCCGTAGAAACTTTTGTGCCTTTGAGAAGACGGCTGGGAGGGATGGTGGTTGAGAGGGAGGGAGGCTTCCTTCATCTTGCAGATCTCAGCATAGCGAGCAACGCACCTGGAAAACGCAGGTGTGGCTACCTGCCCCCAAGGCTCTTTGCAATTTAAATCTCAGACTCTCCATTTCACTGGGGTGTGTGAATAGCTAGATAGTTGGACTGCCAGGCAGACTACAGCGCAACCAGGCATAAGCATCCTGTTCTCTGTTGCAAAGTGAGACAGGTCTTTTACACTGGGTGAGAGATAGTTGCGCTTAAACCAGGGATTGCCAAAGTAGTCTGGTAGGTGCCAGTGTGCCCATCAGTTCCAACAGTGGATGCAGACGGTAGCCACTGTGGCTAGTAGCCATTGGTAGTCTCTCCTCCTTGAATTTAATCCTCTTTCAAAGCCACCCAAATTGGTGGCCACCTCTTCCTCCTGCAGCAGTGAGTTCCATAGTTTGACTAGGCTGTCTCATGTCTGGTTTATTGAGTTAAATTGATGGTCCATCCAGCTCAGAGCTCAGCCACATTTCCACCTGGAAAGCATGGGTCAGAGTGTTCCCCCTTTGCCTCTCTCTTTCCCAGGAAAGACTTGCTCTTTAGCTCTGCAATGGAGCAAACATCAATCCAGAGAAAACCCAAACTGCTGTTTGCTCTGATTGAGCACTAGAGAACAATTTCCCCCGGTGGGAAGCAATGGGACAACAGGAAGTATTGCCTACACCACCCTTTGCCAGCCAGATGCTCTCTCTAGACTACAACTCCAAGCACCCAGCAAAGCCATATGATACCAAATCCGATGGGAGCATGGTCATGTTGGCTTGGGCTGACTGGGAGTTGTAGCTCAAAAACATTAGCAGGGCACCAAATTGGGAGTGGCTGGCCTACACCAACTGGGTGTAGGGAAGAGGTTTTTTGCAGCCCTGACTGGAGATGCTGGGGATTTACAAGGCCTTTATGTACTTCTGAGAAGCCCAAAATGAACATTGCAAGGCAAAACAGAAGCTTGCCAGTCTACACTTTTTTTGTGAGCTATGACTCCTCACCATTCATAGGCACAATTGGTCAAGTGACAGGGCAAGGCCAATTTGTACTTCCTTTCCTTCAATCTGTCTCTTGGGCTTTAAGCTTGCCAGCCATTGTATGCACACATGTTGGCACAAGGGCCCTTCCAAGCTGCCCTAACCATCCGCCTTAATCTAAGACAATGATGGAGGTAAAGGTAAAGGTAAAGGCGGCCCCTGACCATTAGGTCCAGTCGTGGTCGACTCTGGGGTTGCGGCGCTCATCTCGCTTTATTGGCCGAGGGAGCCGGCGTACAGCTTCCGGGTCATGTGGCCAGCATGACTAAGCCGCTTCTGGCGAAACAGAGCAGCGCACGGAAACACCGTTTACCTTCCCGCCGGAGTGATACCTATTTATCTACTTGCACTTTGATGTGCTTTTGAACTGCTAGGTTGGCAGAAGCAGGGACTGAGCAACAGGAGCTCACCCTGTCATTGTGGGGATTTGATCCGCCGACCTTCTGATCGGCAAGTCCTAGGCTCTGTGGTTTAACCCACAGCGCCACCTGCGTCCCTAATGATGGAGGTGGGGGCGCCTATATTTGACCTGCACCAGAACCAGGGGCGACCCCCAAACCAGCTAGGGAGACAGCTTGCTGTAGCTTTTAGCACCTCCGGGAGCGGCCAACTTGGTTGTGGTCGAATCAGCATCTGTTCAGGGCTGCCCCAGTCTTGCCCTAACAACTTCATGGTGAGTTCTGGCACCTATTTTTCTTGGGGAGAAAGCACTGGGAATAATACTCGCAAGTAGCTGTGGGGAGGATACCTCGCAGAAAAAGTAACGTAGCTGAAGGGCTAAGCCCTCCTATCCCTCCCATACCAGTTTCTCTTTTGCAAATCGCTTCCTCCCGAGGCAGCTTTGCAATAGACAAGAGACGACCTGGCTAATGTTACACACCCGTGCTTTTGTCCGTTTGATGACCCCTGGGAATGCAGGAGTCATTGACTATTGCTGAACACAGTATTTCCCATGGTGTGCTAAGCTTGCATGCTGAGCAGCACATCCACACTCAGATTTGGGCATTTCATCATCTGTCGAGGAGTACTTGGGTAATTGCCTGGGAAATGCCTCTGCTGTCCAAAAATACTCTCTGGACAAAGAAGACCAATTAGTATTACTATTATTATTATTATTAAAGCTTTTTCTTGGACTAGCTCGTTTTCCGGGTGGGGGGAACATTGTGTGTGGAGGAAAATTCAGCCCTGGCTGGCAAAATGCAAAAGAGCTCAGGGCTCCTGACCGTTTAATTGCTGTGTAGAAGAGGGACAGCCAATCCAGCTATCAGTTGTAGAACAGATGTGTTCTACAACCACTGCCTGAAGCAGCAATGCTATTGAATGCCGGTTGCTGGAAGCCACAAGAGCGAAGAGGGCTTTTGCACAAAGTCCTGCTTCCAGGCTTTCCATAGGCATCTGGCTGAGAAGGCCTCTCCTCCTCCCAGAGGGGAAGGGTTGTGAGCGGGAGAAGCTTCCAA